TTTACTGCATCCCTTGTGAGTTGTTGACATGTTGAAATGATGATTGTTGATTTATTGTAATAAAAGGCACTTTTAAATTCAAATTCTCTCTCTCTCTCTCTCTCTCTCTCTCTCTCTCTGACCGCGAGCCTAAGGTCGCATACAAGGTATTCAGTTTCTGAATGGTTTAGGCTCAAGCCAACAGTTTGGTGACGCTGTCTGAGCCTTACGTCATAACTTTTTTATTACGCCGGTAATACCGGAGACCGGGGTAAAATATGGAGGCGGTTTGACGGTATCAAAATTTGGATACAGCCCAAGCCTAGTGTGCAGCCATGCTGCCGTTGTAAATGGGGAGATTTTCTGGGAAATTTTCTTAGTCCTTGATTTCGAGTATGGTCCAGAAAAATCTGTTTCAAGGGCTATCTAGCCCTTCCTCTTAGCCCTACACCTTCAAGCTAATGAGAATTGGGACATGAATGTGCAAAACAAGGGGTAAGGGGAAGAATTTGTGGTAGGGCCTAAATGAGCAATTCTATGCAAATGTCAACCTTGCCATGAAAAAAAAAAGTTTTTTTTTTTTTTTTTTTTGGCTTGCATTTTAAAATACTTTTTAAAAATACTCAAAAATGCCTCAGTTAATGTTTTTTTTTTATATTTATATTTGATTTACCAAAGTCACACAAGTGCCAATTTCACATTTGTCACATTCATAATGAAGAGATGTCACATCCATAAGGAAGATTTTTCCTCATAAATGCAAAAATGTAAAACAAAATTCAAATAATTTTTGTTCTATAGTAAACCAACTTCTATTCTTTTGATTAACATTATTTCTTTTGGGTTCTGTATTGTATTTCGCAGAATTTCTACAAAGTAAGCTGTATGCTATGCTGTACACTGGCATACTTTTTTTGGTCACATCCATATTTCCACATCCAATTTTCCTCATTTAAAATATATATTATAATATAAAATAAGCCTATTTATAATATAAAATAAATATATATATATATATATAAAATAAAAAATTCGGATTGATATTTTTCTGATCCCACAACTCTGCTGTTAGTAGTTTTGGAAAATATAAAGTGATGTTTCAATATAATGTTAACATATATTACTATGTAAATTTATGATTTGAGATTTTACTGGCAATGTCATGTCCATAACGCTAGAAGTGCTCAGACATTTTATTATGTTCAACCAACAAACATTTCAGTATAAAGACTGTTTGGATGGATCAAGGGTGGCCAAACTTTTTCTTATGAAGGGCCAAAAATCAAACTTGATTAAAAGCGATTGGCCAAGGTGAAATAAACCAAACTATTACATTAAAGTTGCCACGTTAATGCTAAATACATTGAATACACTTGATTTGCTTGTCGAGGATCATTAAATTTTTAAAAATCTGATTCACGCATAACTTTTAAATGAAACATTTTTTTTCATTTGCTCAACAATTAAACAAATAATAGTTTATGTTAAAATTAAAAATGACAAGCTTTGTTGAAGGCATTGGCCCCGACCTTCCCATTAATCTCGATCTCTTCTCAGATGGCATGATGAGCCAACTTTGCTCTGCAGGCTCTAATTTGGGCATCGGATGGATGGATGTAAAGTAATTTTTATTTCTATAGTGCTTAAGCAATGCAAAAAAAGGTAAGATGGCTATTGAGAGAGTTTTCAAGTGGCATTTTTTGACTATAAAATTTTACTTTGTTTTCATTTTTCATTCACTTACTTACATAATCAGAAAGCAGGGACTTGATTTTTTTATATTCTGTTTAAACTTTACATGTTATTCTAAAAGAGAAAATGTTTCCATGAGCTTTTCATTAACATTGCATTAGCAGTCCGTTCGGAACTCTTGTGCTGTGGGGGTCTAGACTTGAATTCTTGGAATTCTACAGCAGATTCCTCCTCTGAGCGCATGCCAGGTTTAATCAGATTCATCTGTGGGAGCTGCTGTTTGGTGTTAGTATAGACTACCAATGATTCCTCTGTTCAGGAGTCTGTTATGACAATACTGCAGGCAGATAATAGCTTGTTCATAATTATAGATACTAAACTCCAGAATTCTTGGATTTGCCTGCAGCTTAGCTGAAAACAAGCTTATAACTGAGCAGAAATGAGGGACAAGCGCAGATTAAACATGACAATTTCCATTTGTGCCATTAGACTGCCTTGTGTGACTTCGTTCATTTACAGGTACAGGGTTCAACTCTCCTACTCCTATTCATATTTGTTTGAATTTTTATTTTCATAGTCAACATGTGTTTGGCCTCTATAAATTCTAATTACTGTTAGTAAATACTTAGTAGGGACTTTTTTTTGTGGTTACAGATATGGGATTAAGGAATACTGACTAAGGGCCTACTCACACTATGCCCGAAACTGAAAGCGATACGTGACTTTTAAGGGGTTGTTTCATATGGATTTATTAATCATTCTTACTGTTCAGTGATCGCAAACTGCCGTAGTTTATTAAAGACGCAATCCCCTCACTGCACGCCAGCTGCGCGCCTTCAGCAGACCTCCTTATTCCTGCAGCACGAGAGCTTTATGATTGTTTATGAGCGCCAACAGTGGCGGATCTGTCCGGTGAAATATCTGACTGCGTGTCACCGCATCCCTAAGGACTGTTTGGCAAAATATTTGACTGCATGTCAATGCATAACAAACGACTGAAACAATATAACTAGAGAAATCTCCACAGTGCTACTGGGTGAGAGCGTATGGCAAGCCGTTTTAGCATTTAAACCTTTGTTCTGACTATCCATTAATATATTTAGAGATATCTCTAATTATATTTTGACTAGTCATAATTATAATTCGACTAGTCAGAATGACAATTAGAGATATCTGCAATTACAATTGTACTAGTACGAAATCAGATTTGAGATATCTGCAAATATATTATGACTAGTCATATTACTCCATTGACTTCCATTGAAAAATATTTGCAGATATCTCTAAATGAGTTTTGACTAGTCACAATTGTAATTAGAGATATCTCTAAATGAATTTAATTAAATATGAATTAAATACCTGGAAATGTGGATTTTTTTTTGTACACACAAAAACGCAAGTGACCAAGCAAAGCCTTAAGCTCTCACTGTTAAATTCAATTGAATAGAAAGCTTATTTTTTAGCACCTTTACTTAAATTGTTCCTTAATTTTGTCTCTGTCATTTCAATAATATTTTTAAGAAGTTTTTAAATTGTTTTATTTTCCAGAGACAGGCCTGTTTAATTCATTTTCTTAAAGAAGGTTCAGTTTAACAAGTTGAAACAAAAGAAATACATAAAAAATAGTTTACTTGGTAAAATTTGCATTTCAGTTTAATTTTCAATTTTTATTCCAAATACCGTGATACACATCGTATCGTGAGCTGAGTATCGTTACACCCCTAATATTTATATTTAATTTAAAAAATAATTAAACCAATAGAAATGTTAAATTAATTATTGAGTATGAGCCAGTACTTTGTATAGAAACTAGAAAATACATAACACATTTCATAACAGTAAGCATGCAATAAGTATGAAAATTACTGTACTTTTGACTTAGCCATTTCCTTGATGGTGATAGTCTTTGGTTCTTTCCCCACAGCAAGAACACTGGGACTCTGGTTCTCTGTTGTGCTCATAGGTTTCACTGGATGTGGCCTGAGGCAGGAGAAAGATTGACATATTAGCCTATTTATAATGAAAACTTAATGTTAATCCACATGTTAGTCAAGTAGGATTTGCACTTTTAGAGATAAAACAAACTGTGTGATTGCAAACATTTAGCCTGTGAACATGATTCTACTTGATTTTATTATTTGATTTAAAAGACCTTGTATGTTTGGAAAGGAATCTTTTTACTTTTGACTACCAAAAAGTTAAATCGGTTAAAATATTTTCCTCTCATTAATGTAAATATACAACATGACAAATGTAAAATAACAACAAAGTAATTTTGCTAAATTACAATTGTGTATATTAATGAATATGCTTTTTACATTTTTGGTGCGTTTATGAAAACCATTCCAATCACACTTAGAATCCCAAACAGAAACAAAAGATTAATCAAACAGAGATTGTAGGATTTAAATATTTGAACTATTCCACAAAACAATCTTTGGAACAAACAGATAGCACAAAACACAAGTCCAAATAACTCAAGCCCACACGTAATTGTCAGTATATAAACATTTGGCCTCATATTCTTGTATGCATCAGTTGTACGTTATTTAAATCCCATATTGACAGCCACTCACAAGCATCAAGTTTCAAAAAGTGTACAAAATATATCCAATATGGCAAGCAACACAAAGACAGAAAATGGAGAACGGACAGAGCCCTGCATTATCTGAGACACTGCCAGTCAATTTCCTTTCCACATTATTGAAAGACCCTGACATCTTGACCTATCAATGACAGCAATCAGTAGTAAAACCCAAGCCAACACTCCCAGCCCTCAAGATCCCAGGAAGGAGTAAGCAACCACTTAGCAACCAATTGAACAAATGCTGAGGAAACAATCCATTTAATCAAGTAAAGCCGGAGATTGATTGAGGTGGTTTCAGGGTAAATAACAACTATTGATTTGAAAGCTAATGGGTATAGACACAACAGTGATGACAGACTGTTAGAGAAGTTCAAGGAGTTGTTAGTAGGGGGTTGGCAGAACTTTTCTCACCTTTTTGAACTAGAAACTGCATTTCCACTACCACTCTGCAAAGTATATGTCTGAGATTCTGAAGGTGAGACCCAAGCACGGAGTGCAGTCTTGCCGCCAGTTGGAGTTTGAGATGTTTCTGGCGTGGACTCAGTTCTGCTTGATGAAGCAATACTAGTTACTGTCATCTCAACATCTTCAGCATCTTGCGAAGATTGAGAAATTGATCTATCCAAACTACTACTCTCAGTACCAGCTTTCCCAGGGGTTGTGTAAAGATGAGATGGATTTTTCTTTCTTAGGGAAAAATTTCTTTGAAATGTGGCTCTAGCTTGTTCAGTAAAGCTTGGAGCTTGTTTTTCAGACTCCGATTTTGGTGCCATGCTGTTATCTTTTTTTGCTAGGTTTTTATTGTAGGATAACTCTTGATCTTCAATACTTTTCAATTGCGTTGGGCCTTTAGTGAAGAGCACATCCTCCTCATCTGTGGTTTGCTGTGGTATAAAAGCCCAAGGATCTTCAGTACCTACATTATCACCTGGGAATGTGTTGATCATTCCACTTCCATCAGGATCCTTAGAAAGTTTTCCCAAATTTTCTGGAACTTCTGAAGTTCTAAGGTGGGACTTACTTGTAAAAACACTTCCCTTTTGGCCCTTCTCTGATTTCTCAGCTTTGTTATTTTCTGAAGTCACAGGCTGAGTTGTCACATGCTGGTCTGGTTCAACCTGTCTGACTGGGTCCTTGACTAATGACTGTTGTCGGGGTTTGGCTGAAGGCATCTGTTTAGCCACATCTTCAGTCTTTGGATTTATATTTTGTTTGACCCTGGAGGCTGGTGTAGGCTTATCTATTGAATGGGAGGGTTGATAGGTAATGCCATCAGGAGTCTTCCTTTCCATATCCTGAGGTAAATGTTGGACAGCTGGATGTGGGTTGTTTTCAAAGTTCTTTGATTTTCCAGGTTTATTAACAGTAGCATATACAGACTCATTGAAATTGTCATGTTGGACAGTGGTCTTAAGCGTTGGTTCTGATGTTTCATGAACCTTTGGTGGCTTGAGGGCTTCTTTGGGCCTTGTAAGGACAGGTGGAAGAGGCTCATGATTTCTTTGAAGCTGGTTAAGGTTGGCTGAGGTTCTGTCCTTCAAAACTGCAGATGAATTCGACAATGATTTGTTTGGTCCATCTACGTTCATCTCTTCCGAGAAATCCCAGTTTCTCTGGTTTACCTCTGCGATAATATGGTCCCAACGTGTTTGACTCATCACCCCATGCCTCTTCTTGGGAAAAAGTGTTTCATAGTCAGGAAGAGGAAGAGGAGGCCTTTGAGTATTTTTAGAGTCCTGTCTCCCGTTTCTAGCACTGGATGAGCCCCCAATATAACCTGGGGGAAGAGGAGCCTGTCGCTTCTCAGATTTGGGAGCGGAGAGGTTTTCCATATTGGATTCAATTGACTCGCTGAAACTTCTCGGAGGTTTAGGGGGTGCCAGAGAAGAATGAAGATCAGAAAACATACCAAGAGACTCAAATGGATCAGTAGAAAGGGATGAGGAAACTGGAGAAGCGTGGATAGTGCTCTGCTTGTTTACAAAGTTTGAGGGGGATTGGGACAGGCTATTATGCGTTTCAGGCAGTACATTCAGAGCCAATCTGCCAAAGAGTAAAAGCATAAAATGGTCAACTTATGGCTTCAGCAGCACTTTATGGTCAAATATGTTTTAGCTGGGCATCACTACTGAAATAGAAAACACCCCAATATAGAAGTTCAACCCACTAAAAAAATTGCAGAGAATTTCTAAATTATATTCTCATGAAACAACCACATAGACACTTCAATAACAAAGAAAGATAAAAAACAGAAATTGTGTCCTTCTCATTATTAAATGGCACCAAATATTGTTACTTCAAGTTGATTACCAATAAACTTTTAAATAAATGTACCCATTAACAATTCCCATAATTAATATTATATTATTTCTAAGGATAATTTTTTTTACATTATTTATTTACATTAACTTTAAACATGTTTACTGTTATTATTGTAAATTCAATTAAAAATTGTTTAACACAAACCCTAGACAGAAGGGAGGAAATTCAGTCTGCATATTCAAATCGAAAAGGTCAAAAACAAACAAACCACATTCCTGAATCTTTCTATTCTAAAAACAATTATTTACTCACCATTTCAACAGAATTAATCACCACAAAACAGACGTTCCTTCTGTAGAATCAATAAAACTTCCAGTATAAAAAAGTAAAGCTTGACTCTTTCCTTAAGACTATATGTCTCACTGTCACTGACTGTAAATGTACAAGCTCAAACGCAAGTCTTTTCAGTCCATACCAGAAAATCTGCATTTGACAATCCAGACTACATTCCTTCATCTACTAACCAATCAGATGCTTTCTGCTTAACAGGTTAAGCAAGTCAAATAGAGTCCAAATTAAATCTGTTCTATTCACACAAACACAAAAACAATGCACTTATAAATTATATATCTATAGATCTTCTATCTAAAAATAATTTGTTTAGTGTAGATTAATCAGGCAATTTTTTGCACAATTTATAAACAATTACACAGTAACAACACTGAAGTTTTACATTAGGATATAACTAAATAAAAAAAATATATATTAAAATCGAAAATAACAAAAAAAATCTGCACTTGAGTAGTGCTTAATTGAGGGTGTGCAAGAAGTTTTGTGGAAGAACAAAGGAAATCGGCATGCAAGCATGACATTTGAATGGTCGTATTACATGAATGCGATCTCGACTTTTAATACTACGCTCACGACATTTGTAATAATTAACGAAATAACGCCATAGGTAGTTGGTAGATCTGTGAAAAAGGCCTGCCACCACAGCTGGAAAAAAATCCTAGAGGAAACACTGTAACTTATATTTAAGAATACAGATATTTGTTTTCTTTGACTTTTCCAAAACTGTGGGTTTTTCTGTTTTCCAAAGCCTTTTCAGGCCACGTAAATGCCATGTCAAAAATCCATGACTTTTCCAGGTTTTTCATGACCGTATTAACCCTGAATATATCACATAACCTCCTAGGGCTTAGAGGTCACATACGTAGACAGCACATTTTAGCTCTTGTGTCCTATGTTTTATATTTTGTTACAGACATAAAGTGTCATATTGCAACTGTTTTGCAGCATATGAAATGTCCCAAACACTATTTTAACTGTCCACAATGGGCAAAAAAATGTTACTGATAGTCAAAACATGTTGAAAAAAATGTGTGTGTGTATGTGTTATTAATGCATTAAAAACAGTCAGGAAAAAACTGCTGGGTTCAAGGCAGAAATAAAGTTTTTCATTCTATTACACAAAGGTGACTTTATTCTGTTTTATGGAAATTCAACCTCGAGTCCACATATATGGACATCATTTTTCTCTAAAAGTACATCATATCAAAAGTTGATACTTAGGTTTTATTCTAATTACGTTTCAATAAGCCAAAATAGAAAAGATAACTAAAAAATTCATGTAAAAAAAGCGCTTGGGCCTTAATAGGTTAAGCATTAATATCGCACGTGTGCAATCACAATATTCATATCGCAAGATATCCAAAGCGAGTTAGGATTACAGATGTCTAGAAACCAAAACACATGAGATTTGTGGAGACACTGCAAAACTGAACCATAATAGTGTTAAATTTTATTGTCTGCATGTGTTTTAATGCCTGTGACTGTAAGCATTTTAAGAGAGTTTAGTAGTGCATCAAATTTTTAAAAAAGATTGATTTCATTGAATTATTCATATGATTAAGACTATGCAGTGTTATTTTACATTCAATTTCTGTACCTGAATACTGTTACTCTATCCAGAAAGCACAACTTATTTCACTTTAAATAAATTTAATAAAAAATATATTTATATTTCACTCCCCCACAGAATCATTCTAATCTAGAGTAATTAGTATGCACATAGAGCTATTTATGTTATCTGGTGAAATTATATTGATATCGCAATGTTTAATGGCAAAGAAAAAAAATATTGCGAAATATTTTCAATATCGTGCAGCCTTACAACAGACACCCTTTAATTAAGATTAAAAAATAGAAAGTTAAAGCCTTTTTAAAAACACTGAAACTACTATTGTGATTCCATGTGTTCTACTTTTACCCAAGGGGATGAAACTCTGTGATAGCCAAACCCCCACATCTAGTAGAGAAACCATGATCTTATCTCTTTACAGAAAACCCCCCACACTATCACAAGGGGGGGACCGTTCTGCCGAGAGGCAAGAAAGCTAATGAAAGACCTTAGTTTAGAAAACGCAGCAATTTTGGGCTGTTTCACTGAAGCTACTTAAGTGCAATTTATTTCAGATCATCTGTTATTGACCAATTTAAGCAATTTTAACAAGGGTGGTTTGACTGAAAAAAAAAAGAAAGGAAAAAGAAAGGGGGAATTTTTCCTTTAAGAGCAGTGCAGCAAAGAGAGATGAGGAGTCAAATTTCAGCCTAGGTTTTCCTGAGCTCTCAGATGGCGAGATGCTTACTGTATTACAGGACAGCATGACTTACCATTCAGCATGCAGCCTCAGAATGACAAAGGATAAAGGAAATACAACTAATAAATTGTTCAAACTTTAATTACTTATTATATATTCTCATGTGTCCTTCATACTTGCACTAAAGGAAAGGCACATCTTTTCAAATGAATTACGTTTCTACTATAAACCTACTAATTTATCAGAACCACCAAACATCACTGACCAAAACTTTTGAATAGATAGGTGTATTATGTAAGAACTGAAAACCTAAAACCATCAATGATGTAGTAGGTAACACTTTAAAATAACGGCCCATTAGTTAATGTTAATTAATGTATTAATTAACATGAATACTGCAAGTATAAACAGGATTTGTATAGGATTCATTATTCTTGGTACACATTATTCTTCACATTATTAAGTTCTGCAAGTCAACATGAACTATTAATGAACAGCTTAAATAACGTTAACTAACTTTTTAGATGTTTATAACTGCCCTTAGCGGGCGTAATACTGTAGTGTGTTGGTCTGTGTTTTGCACTGCATGTGTTTTAAGTGTGTGTGTGTTTGAAACAGTATGAAATTATGAAGCACTTTGGTCAAATTGTGTTGTTTTTAAGCATGCTCTAAAAATAAAATTGGTAATAAATTAATATATAGATGTTTATATAGATGACAGAAACATTTAAATATTAGCCATTGCACTTCCAACAAAATGATGGACTTTTAATCTACTTAAACCACTTTAATATTATTACTAGGGCTACAGAGTGGCTGATGTTGTTGGGTGAACTGTATCAGTTTTCATTAAATAATTAACATTTTATGCACCGATAAAACAATGCAGAGTACTGCATTTTCATTGCAATTTCCTTTAAAAAAATGATTTGATGAATTTTTCCTTCTAAAATGTTTTAAGAATGTATGCTAGGAACATTTATTTAATGTGGATAAGCTTAATTTATTTATTCATTTTATTTATTTATTTTTCCAATCGAAGGGATCAGGGAATGATCATCAGGCTTTCTGGTAGATTTTAAACAGCATGTTTTCAATAGGGTGCTGCTGATAAAACGGAATAGACATTTATTAACCGAAAACCATTAACGAATGAAAAAAAACTTTGGTATGAAGTTTCGGTATGAAGCACTTTAGTTTTATAAAAATGTGGCTGCTGAGCGCGTGCCTTGGAAGGAATGCCAATAAGCTTAGGGTTATTTCCCAATAAGGCACACGGCTTGGCGTAATGCAATTTTCCAGGCGCACCTTGTTGAAAACTTTTCAGAAGGTTGTGTGCACACTGGGATTCATGCAAGTAGAACTAACTTAATCTGCTTCACACTTTGTATGCTTTATACACATTTCAGTAATAATGGCAGACTCAGACAAACATTGCTGTGCTTTTTTCATTCTCTTCATAAATACAAACTAGTAACGAAAAAAAATAGTTAATGGTCGCCCAGTTATGAGAGACGACAGAGGAGCTCGAGCTTAAAGCACATTGAAAATGGTGAAGAAAACCGAACCCATGCGCTCACGCTTTTCACATGCTTTTAGACGCAACGTGAACAGACTCTGGTTGGGTTTTGCCACCTCAGGTCGAAATAACGAAAATGAATGCCATGACAAGCAGCAGCTAAAAGATTGGAAATGAAGAAAGGATGTCAACAGAGTGGCTTTTTGGTTTCTTTTCTTGTGCATCCCAGCCACTAGCACCCTATCTGAAAGTTTTTTAGCATAGAGGGTAATATAGTTATTCAACATCACAATTTGTAATGTTGCGATATGTTTTTGAATAATGATGGCTTGTTCCTTTAGATTTGATTATCATAATTAGTTTTGAGGTTTACTGTGTGATTATTATAAACAACTTACAGATATTGATCAACCTTAAAGTTTGCTTTGATTGTTTAGCGTTTACACTTTATCATTCCACACACTTTGAAACATTTTATTTATTAATTTTGAGTTACTATAGCACTTTTCTTTATTTTATTATAAGACATAAGAGACTATCCAGGGTATCTGCACATTTTTAACAGGAAATTTAAGACCTTTTAAGACCTTTTTAAGTCCTCTAAAATGAAAATTTAAGACTTTAACTAGACAAAAAACAAACAAAAAAAAAAACAGGAAAATGTTCAGTGTGTCAACACAGAATGATGTGGTGAAGTATGGCGACAAATCTATGGCGGCAAATCAATGCCAATATAAATCGAGCGCAGCGGTGATGTTTGCGCGCGAGGAGAAGAACCGTGAGCAGATTACTTGGTTGACTTGGTTTACTTGTTATCTCTAACGCTATTTGCTACTCTGCCTTTCCGGAAGTTAGCCGGGATTGGATGCAGGTTAAAAGATCACGACGTTAAATAAATATACAATTTGCAAGTCATAATTATAAGAAACTTTCTGAGAACTTTATGAGGATTCAATCTCGAGAAACAGTCAAATAATAAAAATTAATCTTCTAAAATAATGACTTGCATTCTTGTAACATGACTTTCTAAACCCATTTGATTTGTCCGTGCAGCACTTGTCTGGTTTGTTGTATTTTACTTCATTACTATCCCATTATTAATCACAACAGCAGAGCTCATTATTACACTTGGGGATGATCTTTCTAGAAATATTGTCTTCAGAAGAGTTTATTTGCTTTTTAGATCTTTCCATACAATGCATACTATATGTGCAGTGCAGCTTTGTATATTATTATAATTGTTAACATTGTTTGTAATATAGATCAGTGTAAAATATATATATATATCTATATATTATATATATATATATTTTCAATCTCATTTTTAGTTAATGATTGAATAACCTGCATATAAAGACTTCAATCAAAAATGATTAGCCCAATCAAACATAAAAAATACAGTGACAGACATTCAGATGGGTGTTTATCGCCACCTATTGAGCAACAATTTAATTTCTAAAATCTTTGTTTGGCTTTACACACTATCCATTACAACATTCCACTTAAGAGGCATCCAAATTCCACTTTCTATACAACATGCCCACATCTTAAAGGTCACATATGCAGTTGAAGTCAAAATTAGTAGCCCACTTTTTTCTTGTTTTATTTCGGCAAGAATAAAAGCAGTTTTTAATTTTTTAAAACCCATTTTAAGGTCCATATTATTACCCTCTTTAAACTATTTATTTTTTCGAAAGTCTACAGAACAAACCATCGTTATACAATAACTTGCCCAATTACCCTGACCTGCCTAGTTAACCAAGTGAAGCCTTTAAATGTCACTTTAAGCTGTATAGAAGTGTCTTGAAGAATATCTAGTCAAATAATATTTACTGTCATCATGGCAAAGATAAAATAAATCAGTTATTAGAAATGAGTTATTAAAACTATAATGTTTAGAAATGTGTTGAAAAAAATCTTCTCTCCGTTAAATAAAAATTAGGATAAAAATAAACAGGGGGCTATTAATTCAGGCGGGCTAATAATTCTGACTTTAACTGTAAAGTGGAATAACAGACTGAAGACTTTGTACTTTATGCACTTCATGCATGTATAGCCTATTTTGTATAATATTGTCCATCTAATTTATTCTGACTTGTTCTTCATAGAAAATGAGTCAAGGACAATGAGTCTTAGAAAAAAAAAAAAGATTTTTATAAATTTGAACACGTTTGGTTTGAGTTCAGTTTAAATGTAGGTGCTAAACTTCATCAAATGGTTCAAAACACACATTTAAAGTCTGAATTATTCGTCCTGAATTACTAGCCCATGTATATTTTCCCCAATTTCTGTTTAATGTAGAGATCTTTTGCCACATGGTATAACTCTCTCTTTCTCTCCCAAGTAATAAAGTTTGTTACAAGAATATATCTCATTATTTTGATATGTCATTATATATAACCTGACTTGGTCATGATGGTAAGAATAGGCATTATTATGAGATTAATTATTACAAGAAATATCTCATTATTGAAAGTAAGTCGTCACCTATTATTACTGAGAAAGTCTATTAGTTTCACACTGTGACATTATGATAAGATATCCTATATATTTTTATTTAACGGGGAAACTAGCTTACCTGCGCTCAATCCCGGAAATCTTCCGGAAAGGTTAGAGTTAACAAGTAGATAAAGCATTAGAGATAACAAGTAAACCAAGTCCCGCCCTAGGGCTGACAAAAATTTAAAATGTTTCGCGCGAGCAGAGAGAAGAACCAGCGAGCGAGCAGAGAGAACTGATTGCGCGCGCGCTGTAGGCATGACCTCGCTCGCGAGAGCGTCCATCGTGCGCACAGATGATGATGTGCGTGAAGATCCCCTGTGGGCTCGCGAGCTGTAGTTTTCTCGCGTGTAGACCTGTAATCTGCTCACGGTTCACTTCTCCTCGCGCGCAAACATCACCGCTGCGCCTAGATTTATGTTGGCATTGATTTGCCGCCATAAGACGAGTCGGACATGAAATTTAAGATCCCACATGAAATGTAAGACCTCCTTATGGAAAATTACAGAATTCAAGGCATTTTCAGACCTTAAAAATCGAAAATTTTATTTAAGACATTTCAAGACTTTTTAAGGACCCGCGGGGACCCTGCTATCTAAAGCAAGGGTGGGCAAACTCGGTCCTGGAGGGCTGGTGTCCTGCATAGTTTAGCTCCAACACGAATCAAACACACCTAAACATGCTAATCAGAGTCTTTAAGATCACTAGATGTTGGAGCTAAACTCAGCAGGACACCAGGTCTCTTTTTGTTTATTTAAATTTTTTTTGGTTTTTGACAATTAAAACTATTTGCCTTTGTAATGTTGGTAAATTAAAATTAAAATAAATTTGTTAAATAAAAAATCCTAATACTCCTAATATCCTAATCCTAAAAAATCCTAATATTATTATAAAAAATATTTAATAATTATTGATACCAAATGATTAAACGTTATCATGTGTTTTTTTTTTTTTCTCTGCATCACCCAGCCCTAATTTTCAAAACAAAAACACATGTCCGGTTCTGGTCAAGCACAATCTAAAAATGTTACTTATTGGTCAAATAAATTTGTATTAATATCTCCACAATATGCAGAATGCTCAGCACAATCTCATGAGGAAACATAAATATTTTACATTTTGTCAGTTTATGCAAATTTATACGAATTCCTACAAGATCATTTACAAGTAGGAATGCATGGCACCAAACTCCACTCCTAAACCCAAATGTCATTAGGGCATAAGCAAATTGTGCAAATGAGATTGCACAAATTCATACAAATTAGCAATTGAATCAAAGTAACAAATTTGCACATAATAACATAAGAAAAATGGTGAGAAATCACACAGTAATAGAAAAAACATTAGAAGGTGCACTCACCTTGGCTTGACAGCGGACACTTTTGCTGTTCGGCTAGGGAAAGCACTAGCGGGTGGTGTTGGGGCAATTCCCCTGATGCCTCTCCGGGGGTCTGTGGATCTCTCTTCTGGCAAAGAAGCTGAAGTATCTGGGGTGAGGGGAATGTCTTCAAAGGGGTTTGTGGAGGAGGACACATTCAGATGTTTGGGTTCATTCATAGCTGGAGAACCAGATCCCTCTTTCTTCTCTTCCTTTTTCTTTCCAATGCCGAAGAGCGAGGAGAGCCGCTCAGTTACTCTGCTCTCCTCCTGGTGCCGCTGCTCCTCGGCATGCTGAGTCTCCTCTTCACGTCTCTTCCTCTGCAGCTCTTCTTCTTCTCTGCGCTTCCTCTCTTGTTCTTTCCTCTCTTCCTCCTGCTTCCTCTCTCGTTCCTGCTGCCTCCATTGCTCTTGCTCCTCCTGCCGGTCCAGCATCTCTTGAAGGCTTCTTCCTTCGGGTTTCTTTTCCTTCTCCTCCTCCAGCACCTTCACAGGTTGCGAGTTTTTGTCCTCCAGAGGGCGCTGTGGGACAGTTTTGTCTTGCACTTCAGGCTTGTACGAGGGAATACTTAGGCCTTTAAATGAGTCGATGGAGACGTCAGAAATATTCCGTTGATGGAATTTACGAACATCCTCTGCCGAACCCTTTCCGGAGCTGTTCAGGCTGAGCGTGGAGCCAAAGCTGGCTTTGGGTTCTTGATCCTCTGCATAAACATGGCTGCCGTTGATACAGAGGTTATTCTGCTCCTGGATGTTCTGTTTAGAGCGACTCAGAAGAGAAAAAGGGCCAAGTGACACTTTGCTATCCGAGCTGTCAGTGCGCTTGTGTCCCAGAATTTTAAACTTCTTTTTCACTGTAGGAGGAAAAAGATAAGGGAAAAGTTTTAGTATTTTCTACTCAACAAAGCTATAAATAGGGATGCTCTGATCAGAAATTTCATGCTTATCGGCCACTGCTTCAAGCTTTATATAACTTTAACACTGCATAAAGCACATTTTCCCTCCAAGTACGTTAAGTAGAGCTTTCTCCTTTCCTAAAAGAATAAATGAAAGATGTTGCATATAATCCCTTTAACACGTCCCTTATAACCATTTAGTGTGGACACATCATGATCAGAAGCAGCTTTGCAGAAAATAATAAACAATTTTTTTTTTTTAATTCGGAAACAATGCAATTTGTAAACTTGGCCAAATGATGGAAGAATAATTCAACATGCCTCAATGAAGAAAAAGTTTGGAGCGCATTTTTGATGCATAAGAAGTTAAAATGCATATTCCTCTGCTTGTAAAGCCATAAACAGGGTTTCTGCAGGTTTCAAGTCAAATGTAAGACTTTTTAGGAACCTTCCTAAAAGACCATTGTGAATGAAATTTTAGGCTTATACAGGGCTAAACACTAATGATTATATCTAATGGCCCCGTTGGGCCAATGGATTTCTTTATATATATTTCTTAGCTACATACTTTAATGTTGTCCAAAAAAACTAGCAGTATACACTATTTTCAACATATTATTTTCTCTTTTTTTATGACGAGTTTAACATTGTTAAAATAATATTTATTGTGGAGGCAATTACATAACTAAGCAAAATATATTTGTTGGCTTTTGGTCCAAATTGATTGAGATAACTTCTATTCAACCTAATGAATTTCTGTTATGAAACCTTTCCGATCCATGCCGATTTAAAAATATTATGGCTACTCCGCCTTACTTCTGTAAATATTTTTTTGTGTGAATGGAAGATGATGTAAAGTGATATATTGCTCTGTTATTATAATTAGGAATTGTGTGATTTTTCAACTGACTACAGTAAAATGCTATCTCACAATTATAGCTTTTATAGTGATATCTTACAAGGATTCTTACCTAACAGCACATTTTGAGGATTTAATTTATTTTATGAATTTGTCATTTATCTATTACAATATTATACAGGGTTTACTAACCATAATATATAATACTACTCAATTTTCAGTTGTCAGCAGCCATTACTTAGTATTGATCCCATCAGTCTTTATCAACAGATACAATAATAAATACATAAAATAATACATAAATTATAAATACTTTTTTATTATTATTCAAGCACACATAAGTTAAGAATAAAAACATAAAGCAGAAAAAAATGTTATTCTAAATGTTATAAACATTATTAAACAAATTATAACATAGAAATAACAATCAGTGGTGCTCATGGCTCCTTAATAGGTAAGAGAAAGTGGATGTCTTTTTGTAAGTTTTTTTTTTTTTTTTTTTTTTACTTTAACCCATTGAAAGTAAACAGTGTATAACATTGTCATAATGAATTAAAGTATTGTAAAAAATGTAATGTTTTGTTTGCCACATATAGGTAACTATTTATGTGGGTAAATGGTGTGTTTTAATCCAGCTACCACCGCAAGTATATTTAAATCCTGTAATAAGCACTGATAGTATTGTTTTTGTATGCTAATGTTTAACATTTAAGTTTTTGACATGTTAGTGATTAAGTTTAATCAAAAAAAAGAGTGCATTAAAACAATCTGTTAAATGCTTTATTCCAGTTTTTCCAGGTAATATTACTACAATATTAAAGACTGAAAATGCTTTGTTCTGTGTCTTTTTAAACGGTTGTACAACAGTTACATCCGTCCTCTGAACCCGAAGTGCAAAGAGAGGTGGGGTGCCAGACCAATGTTTTCACAACAGATATCATTCTAAGATTACAACAGAGTCAAATAAGATCACAAAAAAATCAGTGCAGTGTAGGGTTGGGCCGATTGACGATGCCATGAAAGGTTAAAAATGTAAAAATGATAAAGCAGTGGATCGCACTGTCATCAACCAGATAATGTGACTGAAGGGAATCTGGTGGAGAGAACTCCTGCACATAATGAGACTCCCCTTTTCATGCAAAACTGGACACACCCACTTTCCTTACTTTTTCAAAAGTAAGAGGTGTGAAAACACCTTGCTGAGAGAGGGGGGTTCATGGACCTTTAAGCAAACTTGCCAGATTCAGATCATCAGCTTATTAGCAGAGACTGAAGACCTTAAATTGGTGTGACAGACAAAAGAGACACCCAAAACATGCAGTGCTGGTGGTCCTTCAGGAACGTGGTTGAGAACCACTACTCTATTCTACAGTGTGACATGCTCCTTAATATCTATATTAAAACGTTTTGAAATGATTTAAGAATGAATGTTTTACAAATTACACATGGCCTAAATGTTTTTTTACTTTGTACTTACAATAAGTACTCAATAGCTTACAATAACAAAACTCACCTAAGAATAATAATAATAAAAATAAATAAAAATAAAGTATTCTTAACAAGATGCATAATCATTTATTTTACCATCAGGAGAATCCACATTAAGGCCTGATGATCTGCTGCTGCTAAGTGAACTGTTCTTCTCAGGTAGGGTGCCGAGGGTTGACATGGACTGAGACACATTCCTTTGGAGGTTAGTTTTTGGCCCAAACAGGGATTTCAGCTTTGATTTCTTCTTTGGAGAGTCTGAACTGCCCTCTCCTTCTCCTTCGCTGTCTGTTTCCATTGATGAGGGCACAATCGCAGAAGCAGAATCTGACAGGCCGTCTTTCTTCTTTCCACGAATTTTATCCTTGAGCTTAGCGATTCCAGAGCGAGGCTTCTCTGTCATGGAGAGGTCAAACATGCTGGCTGTCATGTTATTCCTCATGAACTGAATGTCCAGCATAACTTCCCCACGGTCCTTCTCTTGCTTCCCATGCTTATCCACCAGCTTGTACCAGCTTCAAAGAAAAACAAATGGTATTCATTAAATTGCGTGGCAGACAACTTGTGAAGGACCATTTATTTTAGCTAGTTTAAAGATTTTAATCATCACACATAAGAATTGTTAACTACAATTATTCTACAAAAAATTTATAAATAGTTTAGGTTATAGCCACTGGCTAAATGACAAATTCGGGCCGCAAAATATATTGTGCAAACCAGCAACAGTCACATTGCAAGATTTGCAATGCAAATAGGGGATTATAATTAACCAGTAACCAAAGTTTAGAATGCCTAAATTGTGAAGTCAGAGTTAAACCCTAATCTAATGGTGTGATATGTTTTTGGATGACTTTAAGGCCTGTGACTAAGATTTCAGACAAATTTAAACCATTATAAAGTTTTCCACTTCAATTAAACTTGTTTTTTTTACTATTTATTAAAAGTTTTTAGCATTATTTTTACAATAAAGACTATGTAGTGTTATTTTTCAGTTGATTATTTAATGTCTGTACCTCAACACCGTTAGAGCTGTTTATTTAATTTTGTTTAGCTTTAGTTACTCATCTCTGCTTTAATAAGTTTCTTTTATTTTGTCTATATTTTTATGCAGATGCACTTTCGTACAAAATCATCCCAGTCAATGTAAAACAATGAATTATTTCCTTACTACTTATTTTACTTATTACTTAAGTGATTTTGTGAAATTATATTCATATCGCTAACCACGCACACAAATACAGATATATGGGGAAAAAAATGTGCATATCTGTGTGTAGCAATATGAATATAATTTTATTAGTACATATAAAAGCACATATCAATGCCTTAGGCCGTACTCACACTAGGTACAGTTGCCTCGAACCGGGGTAAAGCACGCTTTCTCCCCCGTCTCCCCCGACGGCCCGCGCTCACACCATATCGGGCCTCGGCACGCTTGCGTCATAATTATAATTCCACTACTCAGAATGACAATTAGAGATATCTGCAATTACAATTGTACTAGTACGAAATCAGATTGGAGATATCTGCAAATATATTGTGACTAGTCATATTCCTCCATTGACTTCTATTGAAAAATATTTGCAGATATCTCTAAAAGAGTTTTGACTAGTCACAATTGTAATTAGAGATATCTCCAAATGAATTTTGACTAGTAACAATTGTAATTAGAGATATCTCTAACGGAGTTTTTACTAGTCATAATACATTTGGAGATGTCTTTAATTCGTCATATTTAGAGATATTTACAAATATATTTGAAGATATCTCTAATTAATTTACAAATAGTCGAATTATAGTTGTAGATATCTTGAATTGGATGTTTGACTAGTCAAAATTCATTTGGAGATATCTCTAATTACAATTGTGACTAGTCAAAACTTATTTAGAGATATCTGCAAATATTTTTCAATGGAAGTCAATGGAGGAATATGACTAGTCATAATATATTTGCAGATATCTCCAATCTGATTTCGTACTAGTACAATTGCAATTGCAGATATCTCTAATTGTTATTCTGAGTAGTGGAATTATAATTATGACTAGTCAAAATATAATTAGAGATATCTCTAAATATATTTATGGATAGTCAGAACAAGGTTTAAATGCTAAAACGGCTTGCCATACGCTCTCACCCAGTAGCACTGTGGAGATTTCTCTAGTTATATTGTTTCAGTCGTTTGTTATGCAGTGACATGCAGTCAAATATTTCGCCAAACAGTCCTTAGGGATGCGGTGACACGCAGTCAGAGATTTTACCGGACAGATCCGCCACTGTTGGCG